CAAGGTTGACGAATTGAACGCAAACCCCGGAAGAACAAGTTTTCGGTCGACAAAGAGGGACAAAGGAAGGGGGGTGACGTGGGATGGGGCAGACAGAGAGGGGTGGGACGGGTGAGGGGGTAGGGGACGAGACGAGGAGTGGTGGGAGGGGGACGGTAGGGACGGCTAAGGAGAGCAAGAAAAGACGGGGAAGTTGAGGTGTTGAAGAGCGGGAAGCAGCTCGAAACTGCGAGGGTCATGGCTTGGTGCTTGCCTCGGTCTCAATGGTGGCCATGAAGTCGTCTGCGCTGTTGCCGTTCGCGTCCGGCCTCTTGAGGGGTCCAGTTGTTTCTGTCGTTGTAGGTGTCGAGCTCATCGCTGTCGTGGGTCCTGCTGACTTCGTTGTTGGTACATCACCCCCCCCACGGATCCGCTCAAGCTCCTTGGACCGCTCCTCATTGGCCATCTGCAAGCCTTTTAGCTTTCCCTCGAGTTCCTTCTTGGTCTCGAGCACCTTGTTGCCAACATGACCGTGCAATATTCACACCGGGGAGATGCGGAACACAAACGCAATTTCGTGTGACGAGGTAAACAGGGAGTCATGTTTACTATGGCACAGGCTATACTCGTTGGACATCGAACTAGCGTGGCGATGCAAAAAGAGGCGCTTGATCGGTTTCCCGGTGTGGGAGAAGGCACTGGACCTTTCATCTGCGGTGTTTGCTGATGCGAAGCACCTCGTTGTGGCGATCGTTCGTCGGTAGGATACATGTGAGATGTCAAACTTGGGCATACCCGAGGTAGGCGAGAGTCGGTCTTGTTCAGCTCCTCCTTGTCGCCACCGTGCTCCTTCTGCATCGTCTGCAGCTCCAACTTGGCCAGACGCTGGCGGAGGGTCACGTTGTGGTTCTCCAGCCGCTCGCAAGCGTGCAGCAGCTCGATTCCCGAGAGTTGAGATATCACGTCGAGAATGTCGCCGTCGTCTTGTATCCCTTGCCCGGGGTTGCTCGTCGTGAAGGCCGCTGTCACCGCTATGGCGGCGGTCTTTCCTTTCTCCGAGGCGTGACGTTTTTTCCCACCGCTTGGTTCGCCTTCTCTGGGTGACATTGTGGTGGTCGACTCGTTGTCGGTTGAAGCGCCCAGCCGCTTGCCGACATGTTGACGCATCTAAGAGGTGGCGGGGGGTGGAGCGGGGAGCATGAGACGTTGGGATATTACCCGGTCCTCCGAATTGCTGCTTCGATTTCTTCCTGCCAAAACGAAAGCACATTGTCCATGGGTCGAACCTCAACGTAAACACACCAGACGAACTGTCGCCGACTTGCAGTTGTCGAGACCGAAAGCTTCGACCCTTTGGGTCAAGCACAAGTTTGAACTCCATCTCAAGCACGACTCCTCGGCCTACGAGCAAATTTGGGGTGGGTTTCCGCGGGAGAAGCACAACAACCCCAGGACGCCCAAGTTTGTCCCAACCGGTATGACTCACAGCCAAGATATTTTTCTTCTCAGCCTGCAGCGTCACCAACAGCTTCGTCTGCTGGTGCTGCATCTTGTCCACCACTTGCATGAGGTTCTCAACCTCGTCGCGAGAAGCCTTCAACATCGCCGCTTCGATTTCTTCCTGCCAATCCCGAGAAAGCAATGTGCACGTAGCAAAGGGTTTTTGTTTGGGCCTACGATGGGCTTATGGAGGGGACCACCCCAACGCTCGGTAACAGTCCTAGGAACGGCAGTAACGGAAACGACTACTACGGTCAAGGCCAGGCCCGGCCCGGCCCATGTCCGAGGGGTAAAAACGCTATTGTATGCAGAAATATTTGCGGGCTACAGCTGTGCCCCGCACGACGGTTCTGTGTGGTGCCTGTCGTGCCCACTCATCACCATCCGCCGTCCCGTTTGGCAGCCGACTTCCGCGATATACGCAGGGCCATGCACACCACCAGCAAAGCCATTATTTTTTTTCAGCTTACTGACGCCGCTGCCGATCTGTCCCTCTTAAGTCTCTAACCACCACGATAAAAACAATGATTCGGATAGCAAACATGTGAAGATTGGAATGAAGGCATGTCGCAACTTCTGTTTCCGTCTTTTTCCGGGTGTAAAGACAACAACATCGACATCAAATACGATGGCGACGACGACGACAGCTGTACAGCATACCTGTTGGACCGACACCCCTTGCGAGTTGAGATCTAGCAGGCGCCGGCGTTGCTTCAGCTTGCCTTCGAGTTCGGTTTCCTCCACCTGCTTGTTGAACAGCGTCCGGGCTTCTTCGAGCGGGTCCCCCAGCGTCGACGCCAGGATCTTGCGCGTGTTGGCCTTCATTGTAGAGTAATACGGGATGATTGGCTAAGTGCACGCTGGTCTACCCAAATACTTTTCCGAGTGTGGATGGTCGCCTAGTTTTACGCTCGTTCGATGGGAGTGGGAGTCACCCTACCGAGAACTAGAACACTCGAGATGAGAGAACGGGAGAAAGAGAGAGAGAGAACACGCATCGGACAGTTCGCGCGCAACAAAGAAGGCCTGAACGAAAATAACGGAGACGCCCGGAGGCATGAAATACAGCATGAGAATGGAACAACGGAAGCGCTCTCGGCCTCCGTCATTTAGAATCGTACGCAGCCTCGCCGCCTGTTTCTTAGTTTTTCACTCCAAACAATATGCCTCCCAATCCTGACAACCATGGTATCTATTACTCTTTTTATGTGAACGCCATATAACTTCATATGGTGCGGCGCAGGCTCTCCCACACCGACAAACCCACCTCTCGCTCGTGTTTAAGAGCGACCAACACGGTCTCTTGTCGATCCTTTAAAACTTTCCCCAACGCTTCGAGACGTGCCACCGTTTGCTCCTCGAGCTCGACCAGACCAGCTTGGGCAGCTTCCGCCTTTTCTTTCTCTTCGATATGTCGTTCGGTGCATTGCTATATTTTCGACAGAGCACGATGAGGGCAGGGGCACGGAAATTTGGCGGAGAGGGTTTGAGGTTTAGTGCGATGACGATCGGTGTTCAGCAGTACCCACGGCAGTAGGTGCCCACAGCAGTAGGTCGTTGAGACTTGTCACGATTTTACTGATAAGGTATTTGGTTGAGACTTGTCACGATTTACTGACATGGTATTGTAGCGCATTGCCTCCACAATTTTTGGATCGCTCCCGACCCTGTCTCGCCAAAAATTGATGAAAATCAACAACAGCGAGCAAAGCTGCCAATCGCTTCTCCTGTCTAGTGATGCTATAGGCTAATGAGAGTTTTTGGTCTTTGGCATATCGGTTCGAGCACCGAAGGAAATACCCATCGGCACTGTCCCTCGAGGTGATGGAAGTAGAAAAACAATACCGTAGATGTTATGGCATGTGGACCTGAGTCATTGTGTCGAGTCGCGTGTCCAAGTCCCCTTCGACGGCCTTGTTAAAGGCGACCATGCACTCTTTGAGCCCTTGCCTCTGCTTGGCGCTATTCTCGTCGTAAGTGGCCACCAGAGCATTGACCATCGTCAGGATATCCTGTCAGGCGACAAGGTAAGAGAAACAGATTCGAACATGCCAAATCATATACACCGTTTGCTAGGTTTCCCTTCGGGACGTGGGCCGAGCCTCCCGCGGGTGACGAAAGATGACATGCCCGAGCAGGAGAACAATTTTCTGAAAAGGGTTGTTTGGTGTGATACATGCTGGGTAGTAGAGTCTTTCCCCGTGGGTGATGAATTTTGTACCGCATCGGGTAGCACAATACCTGCTTGTCGGACTGGGCTTGCGGTTGATTCTCGAAAACATCCACTAGCGATTCTTCCACGCGCCAATCCCCGAACATCACGTGGTTGCCAACGCCACCGTTGCGGCCATCGCCACGTTTTCTTGCGAAGGCGTTGCGTCCCATGTCGCCTCCATCCGTCTCGACGCTAAACCACAGGGGGCTCACCCCGGTCAAGTCGTCGAAGGCGCCTTTCACCTTCTTGGCGACGTCGGCCAGGTCCTGGTACTCAAAGGTCTCGAACTGAGTCGGAGGGTCGTCTGCAGTGGTTTTGGTAGGAGTTGCATCATATGGCTCATTCGCCGTTGTTGCAGCCTCGGACCTGCCACCAGAACCGAGAACAAGCGCAGGCGGCACATCTTGTGTTTCGATGGACTGCGGTGAGAACGTGAAATAAAAGCAATCATGCACATTGTCGAAGGGGTTTGCGGTGGACATATCGTACTCTTCCCACACAGATAGCGGTGCAGCGGTGCCATTGTAGGTGGCACGGCATCCGCACGACGAGCACATTATAAAAGGGTTTGTATGAGGAGCTGCGAGTGTCCACGGCTCGTGCGTCGTGAATGAACACTTACTAGAAGTCTATGTTGCCAAGTGCCCACAATAATCATAAGTAGATTTTTTTAAGAATGACATGCTTCACGGCAATCAATGCGTTGTTTGACATCATCCTGTGATGTACTACATATGTACTGCTGTGCTGCTGTAGTACCGCAGCAGTACCTCCCCGTCGGCGTTTGAACGCAAAAACAAAACGCATTACAGCAGTCCAGCTATGAAAATGAAAGAGTAGGATTAAACATTCAACAATCAACCTCTGGTAAGTAGGAGAGTAGTGCATGCAGGACTTGAAGCGTGATGGCTCAAGTACCTCCCCATGTCGCCTGGTGCGGATCTCTGTCTCCACAGCCTCCTCCTGCCGTCTTTGCTCAGAGCTCAAAGGCCGTCGAATAGCAGGAACAAGGTACCCCTCGGTACCGTTGCAAGAGGTTCCAGTTCGCCGGTACGAGGGGGGGCATGGAGCATATCATGTGTCTTTCTTCGAGAACAATGTGTCACGTGCGTCGTAGGAACTGCAAAGTACGTTTGTTGGTTTCGGAAAGCGGAGATAGAGAAGTGTTGTCGGTTGTCGGTGAAAAATATATGCGGTTTCCGAAACACTCGAAAGACCAACCATTGTATATATACATACAGCAGTATGACAGGTGACAATCTCGCCGCGTCACGCGGTCGCCAAGTCTCTCGACACATCAACCATCAAAACCCAAACCAAACCAAATCGCGATCACGCTCCCCGCTCTCCCCGCCTCATCACCCGGCCCTTGCCCCTGGCCCACCACGCCTGAGAGACCTCGCCTCATCGCACCCTTGTTTGTGTAGAACTTAAAAGAGTTCGAACACCTGCCTGTGGACGAATGGCGAAGGACGTGACTAAGACTGCTGGGAACCGCCCCGGTTTCTCGCAGGCGGTCACGCTGGCTTGGCTGGTGGGGCTTCTACAGGCGGCGGAAGCTTTCTCATTCACTACAAGTTCTTCTGTCGGAGCTCTTCGAAATGTGGCGGTATCATCTGCCCCATTCCAGCGGAAAATGAGCCGCAGAAGATCTCTCAACAGGGGCTCGGGTGGGGTGTCATCTCTCAAGGCGATCGGTGTGACCTCGTCGGTGATTGAAAGCGTCGCCAAGGGTATCTTGAATCTGGCACTCGCCAACCCCAGGCAGGCGACCGTGGAATGTACGGTCAACAGCTCGGCGATGAATCTAGTTCGAGGGAAGTTGGAGCAGGCCAAGGTGGATGGGTGAGTGTGCCCAACACTCTTGTCTCTGTGGTCGGTAGGCATGTACATGTTGTACATGTTGCATGAACACTTGTATGCAACAGGTGTAAAACTATGCAAACACGAATGTCGGTAGGCGAACCGAACATCATGCCACTGCTATTAGCGACTACCGTTGTTGTACTCAGTGGATCTATGCCAAGGGTGAAGGATGCCGCCTTCCGCGCACGGAATTTCCCCTGGGGATATGTGGTGCACGGTCGGTCTGACAACATGGCTGTGTATGTATCTGCACATAACCAAGGGTCTTGTAGTCTTTCTGTGTATTGTCAGGATACGGAGATTCAGGGAGCGCAGAGGCTCGCCCACTCTCCGCACGACACTAGCTTGACTGAGTTCGCTCGGTCACGCTTGGCATTCCTCGCCACATCGCACCAAAGGAAATAGCCAACCTTCCAGGCCAGGACATAGCCACCACACTCCCGGACTCTCCGCTCACCCAGAGTAGAGGGTCCCATAGTATTTATCTCTTCAACAGTCTAATCGGCAGATGTGTGTTGTGTGTTGGTGTTTACGTCCATCTACTGCTGTGGGCGCCAGTCTCCCTCTCAGTATTGTTTGACGCATCAGCCGAGAGCTCTTCAGTATATTCTTCTCCACCTTCCCCCCTTCGATATTTGCCTTCAACCTTTTGCTTCAGCGGTCCCTTTCCGGTGGTACTCATGAACAAGTACCGAATTCCATACACACAAGAAAATAACCCCACAAAAGGTATGGTACCACATTGCATACGTACAGAATACTCGAACAAATTCTCCGAAGTAATACTTTTTATACTCGTCAACATGAGCCCAAAACGTAGAATAGTCTCAAATCAAGTAGTAGGGTCACCTAAGATACCACCCCCACCACATATGGCCACAAAATACCAAACCTACTCGGGGATAACAATATGTATATGTTGTAATGCGAAATACCAGATATGTTGTTATAACGGAGTTCCACTCTACATTTCTCAGACTACAATGTACGAGTTTTCACTCCAAAGAGATTCGAACCCGCACTAAAGAGAGTCAGGAGGTACGAAGGTACCCGCTGAAACACGGGGGCGACGGGCGGAAGGCAGGAATGGCGACATCCGATCCTGTGGGTGTCGGCATGCCCACCCTGTGTATAACAGCAGCATCATCTGCGTGTTTGTCTTTCGAAATTAAACTCTACAGATGTTTCGATGCAGAGATCTGCCAATTGAACATCAAGCGAGACAACAGGGTCTGTGTACAGGTGACTAACCAAGATCAAATCGTGTGTTCGCCATGTGTATCGCGGACGCTCAACACAGGTCGCTCTAGACACGTGCGTTATCGCTGGGGACACAACTCCTTTCTTTGACGGATGTCCAGCCTATTGCACCGAACGTCCCTTTGCCAAAGATTTGGTCGAAATAGTTCGGGTTGAAAATCGCGACAAGTAGCCGACAGTGCAGGCTGTTCTCCGGACTACTGTAACAGCGATGCCAGGACAAGAACAAGAAACCAATTTTCCCTGCATGCTGCTGTCGCCACAAGCACGCAATGCATGTTGCACTTGACCGCATCGAAGGCTCAGGATTGTGACTCGTGTTCTGTATGGGTGGGTTCCTTCCGGTTGATGTGTGCAATCCAAGAATACAAGTATAATAGTGTCATTGTACGGGGACTTCTTCTTTGCCGTTTTTTGCTACTGTGTGGTATGAAGCTTTCAGCGGCACGCGGCGGCTACCGCTGCCTGCGGTGTCCTCTTGCTGACGTACCATGCCAATACGCCAGGTGAACCAAATCTATCTGTTGAAATGCTCATATGTGGGCACAAGGAAGTATGAACGCATGAAATATCCAAATGTGATCAGGTCAAGCAATCTCTCGGAAAACCAGGCTAGATGATATGACAAGACTTCGTCAGTTTGCAATTTTTTCTGACCTGTCGGCTGCCCCCTCCCGACACTTGGACTGCACTAACATTCTGCACGCGCAGGTTGAACTGGGTGACGCCCATGGGGATGACGCTGCGCACAATCGCACTCACGCTGAACGAGATGAACATAAAGCCATCTGAGGTGTTCCGCGGAAAGATCTTGTTCAAGTATGTCGCTTTGTAAACGTGATCTGTCTTTGTTCCTGTTGGTGTTTCTCCGATTGAAGACGAACGGCAAAAGCTGGATGTACACGGACAAAGGGGTTGCGAGGTTACGCCCTAAGAGTGACATTTGTAACGATTTTGCTCTATCAGATGCTAGCCCATGGCAAGGAGTTCAGAGTCCTTTAGTGCGGTATTGATTTCAACAGCGAACCCAGTGTAACATTCCATGGTACACCGCCCCCGCCCGCGTGTCGGCCCCAACTTTTCGCCGAACCAACAAAAGGTGTCCAGCTGAGGGCGAGGCCCTGATCGAGCTAGACGCCCAAGACTTCGGCAACTTCTTGGTGCACCCTCTGCTGACAACGGCAGATCTTCCCAGCGGAAAGTTCGATTTCCGGCGGGAAGGAACGGCCCTCGACGTCGAACGAGGCCGCGCGACCTTCACCGGAATTTGGCAAGGGCAGCCGGTAGTCATGGAGGCGTGCCAACCGGAAAGGTGTGTGTGTGTGTGTGTGTGTTTCTTTGCTTGATTAGCATTGACCGCGCCAACCAGCGGGTCAATGAAAACATGTCAGTCTGAACATATGGCGGGATGAAAGCGCGTGGAATAGGCTTTCTAATCAAATATTCTACAGAAGGGGGGCCCAAAGTTGTGTTGAAGTTGATGTAGACCCCGCTTAGTATTGGCAGGGAAACAAGTAGTTCGAGTGGTGGGACAAGATTTCTAGTCCGCGGGGTCCCTCTTGTGTATCTGTGTACGCGGGGCTGTTAGTATACCGGGGCATCTACTCTGTGGCGAATGGATTGTGAGCAGGAGAACTGGCACATGGTTCGGTGGCGGAAAGACTGATTATTGTTTTGCGAAACAGATCCTAGCGATATGTCTTCTCGCGGCTTTTCGAACACCGACCATACAGTCCATGCGATGCTTCGTTTACATAATTCATGCATCCCAACGTCATCCTCTCCTCTTGGCACACCACGACCGCCGTTGCCGTGAACTCTCACCATGGCGCGGCAGCCAGTTGCACTAGGGCATCTGCCGGCCTATTTGCTATAACTAGCCTGCCTCCATCTCGCCGTGTCTGTGGGTCCATGTTCACGTCGTGCACATGGAACGCACGAACTTGGGCCCCTTACGTAACAACACATGGAAATGCACCAAACTTGTACCCCTTAACAACAAGCGCCTATTATAAAACAATAGTGAAAGCGAATGCAACAACAATATCACACAAACAAGGTTTGGCAAGATCCACGCGCGAGTGGCGCAGCGAGGCCGGCTGACCGACCTGGGCATCAGGACGCTCTCCGACGAGATGACGCACTTCTTCAACACCGTCGTCCTGGACCTAGACGGCACCGCCGTGCGGTTCAGGGACATGCACCACGGCTACAACAGCCAAGGAGAGCCGTCGCTGCGCGTGACGGTGAGCGTTGTGGTGCACCGACTGCCCAAGCCCGAGAACATGAAGTTCTAGTCTTCTCTCCGGCTTTGCTTTGGTTTGGTTTTGATCGGATTGGTTTAGCTTGGCGGGCAGGTCTGAAAGCGGGCGTTCGAGAGGTCTAGACTCTGGCTCGTGTACAAAGAGGGTCACCAAGTCATGTTTCATCTGGCAGAGACATCGTGGAGTTTCGATTGGTTTTGTCGGCCCCCGGAGTATTGAGCCATCTGGACTTCCTCCAGCACCATGACCAAAGAGAATACCCAGGTTTTGTTTGTGTTGAAGATCGAGTCACTTTGTTACTCTCGATGTAGCAACTGCGGGACACACTCTGCTGTATCCGATCTACCGGCTACTTACAGTGTACTCGGGTGTTAGATTTTGTTGCTGTAGACCTTCGTACAGTTTCCTTCATTGGCGTCATTGCCGGATTGTGCATTGTGTGGTGTCATGTTTCTGCGTATCTGATGACGCCCGAGTTCTTCCTGGCACCCTGCTACTTGTCTTTGGGGGTTGGAGGCCCTTGAGATCTCAGGAACGCACACATGGCAGGATGGTGCGGACCAACTGTATGCCAGGCCGAGAGTCCCGCTGAGTAGAAGTTTTTTTGTCTCTTGTTTCCACTCGTTTTATTTTCACTCGTTTTGTCCTTGTGTGTTGTTTGCCGCGTGGATCTCGCGTCTTAGCATTTTCCCCTCACGAGTGGTCTTCAGCCTAGTACCACCGTATCTTGTCCGGTTTTTGTCATGTTTTTTTTCCCGTCTTTTTCAGGGTGCCGCTTCATGCGCGCCCCTTTGTGCTCCGAAGTGGTTAGTGGGGGTTGGGCTTGACCCATTCAGAGAAGACGAGGCTGTGTGCTTGTTACCCCGGTTGATTCTTCGTCTAGTGTAGATTTAAGCCTCGCGGTAGTAGAATTCACGATCTGTGTTGATTGTTTTTAGTGAAGCAGCCGGGTTGTTCCAGCAACGGCCAACTTAATGGGCGCTCAGGGCCAACACAGCCTGCCAGGAATAATGTCAGTCGTCTTATCTAGTTAGCCATAGCCAGAGTACATACCTCGTAGAAGCACAATTTCGCAGCCTAGGCAATACTTACCCTCTCAGTAAAGTAAGTACATATACCCCAGTTTAAGGTGTGCGCCGTTGTTCCCGATACGTATCTGTACCGTCATCGTGTGTAAAACAGCCATTTGACTGTTGTCGTGCACTGGGATTTGTGTAGAGGCCTCGGTGACTGGATTGTTATGATTGTTTCTTCCTTGTAGCGTCGTGACCGTCGATAATCATAGTTTCATGGCCTGGGGAGATGGGGGAGGGGCAGCTTTCGCGTACAAGGAACAGGTCTCAGAACACGCATGGAAGTAAATCATCCTTATGTAGAGATCGGTAGGTGGCAGATGCTCAGGAGATCGATCAACAACGTCGGTACACAACGTGCCCGTGTCAGTGAGAAGAAGAGAGTCTGCCCGATTCAGATTAGCTCATTGTTGGACGGGACCCTGCTACCAATCGATGAAAAGGCCGACTGGATAGATTGGTTGATTGTTGACCCTCTCACCTGCGCAGATCACAATAGCTAGTCCCTTCGAGTTCGATTGTAGACATACACGGTCTCCAGGCTCGGGCGCCAGGCGCCCTCGCTTTCAGCTCTGTAATACGCTGAATTGAAGGGTGGTGGGTGAAGACTGTGCACAGCATACCAAGGGCACGAAGCTGGAAAAGACGTTCACCTGTAAAAGGTACTCTAGTGTAGAGGCTACAGCAGGACCCTCAATACTACAGCGTGTCGTTGACAGTATTTGCAGAAGACAAAAAAGAAAACTTTGTTGCAGGTTCACGATGTGCATGCAACGCATGTGATGTTCGGAATCTCGAAACACAACGCGAAAGAAATTGGAAATTACTTTAGAAAGAGCTGTGGCGTACAATGGCAACAAATAAACAATAATAGAACAAACCGTGTCCAAATTCCTTCCTACAGCAGCAGCCCTACCTGTTGCACTTTTGCAACCTTGCCTAAGACTATTTATTATGCAGACCAACTTAGAATTCCACGAAGAGGGTACGCTTTCTTTCACGCTTTAGCCCGACTAACTCTGACTAGCTTCCAAGAAATATTGCACGATATGCTTGTGGTATTCACGAAATGTGCATAGTAGTGGTATGTATCTGTCTATATCTACCGTTCACCTGTGAAGGACAGAGAGGGATATGGTCCGTTCGGGCAAATATTCACAATCTTGTTTTTCGCGATATCTTTCGAAAAAAAACGATTTGGAAAGTGAAACAACTTTGGGCGTGACCGCGGCGTCGAGCTTCGTCGATATCCGATGAGTTTTTGGTGATTGGGTGAAATGCGACATTTTAGACCAAAATGACCCACGGAGCCCCCACCCCCCCACCCCCTCATGACCCCACGGAGCCCCCACAG